GGGGACTGGCAGTCTTGGACTCGGTGCTGGTGCTGGATGCTTGTCTCCGGGAGGTGGGGATATGGGGTGGTGGGTGCTGGCGATGAATGCTCATTTCTGGGGGGAGGGGGTTTGGGTCTGGCTCTGTTGGGGGTCCTGCCCAGCTCACTGATATCACTGGTTACCAGGAGTTGAGTGGGGCAGCAGCCAGAGCATCCCACTCAGCTCCTGGAAACCAGTGACATCAGTGAGCTGGCCGTCATGGCACCTCCATTTTCCCGTATAAGATCGAGCCTGAGGCCACTGTCTCAGGTTGCCTCCTTATAGGGACATCCCTGCATACAACCCTGATAATTTTCACAGGATGGCCAATCATTGGGAGGTCTATGGCTATGATGTCCTTTGGAATAAGGGGGTTCCTTCTGATCCAAGTTCTGGATAAAGATAAGCGGAGTACCTTGAAGCTGGAGATGGATTGGCTTCTATAAAGGACTCACTAGTAATATTCCTTCCTGAGCAAAGCCTGAAGTAAAACAGTGCTACAGCAAAAGGCAACATAGGGAAGCATATATGTCGCCAGCACGTTGTGGATCTATATAATATAAATGTATTACCCCTTAGCCACTGCTGGGAGCCAGCCCTTTAAGTGAGGTCGGTAAGAGGGGCTCCTGTTCATTTGTTCACTGTGCTTGGCTACAAAGTGATGACATTATTAATACTGGTCCTACTGGCTCCCAATCGTTGTAGGTATATCGTGACAACTCAGTCATAGTTTTGAGGGTGCCAATTGACCATGCCCCAGAACAACACAGCAGCAGCTGGGTGTTAAAGCCAACCTGCTGTGCTCCTGCATATACAGTATGTCTTATACTGTCATCAAGAGGTTACAGCAAACACATCACAACTGGTGCAAGGGCTATGTTTTGGGGATACATAGGACCCCTTTGTGCTGTGTGGCCCCAAAACTTTGTACTTGTACTAATTGCAAAGTGATCACTTTAACGTCTTGAAGACAGGGTAAGACATATATGTCTTAAAGTGATGACATCACAATTAGTGCAAGGGCATGCAGCACCATGGGGTCCTACATGGCGCCGTAACATTGCAATAGTGTGACCATTTGAATCCTTTTTTGGATTATTACATGGATGCATGGTGTGCTGGTGACATATATTCTCTGCACAGGTACACTTAGGGTCCATTCAAACCAGCAAGCTGCGCTGATCGCTCTGCTGCTCCTGTGTGTGTGGCCAATAACCGATCCTGACACATCGCACTCTTTCTTTTTTTTTTGTTAGAACTTTACTTGAAATGTAACAAGTGACATTTCATTAAGTTCTACCAGCCACAGTGAGGTGCAATGTGGTTGTACCGCGTCACACCACGCTGCACTGAAAAAAACCTACACTGTCTGTACGGCAACATGGCGGTGTGAACTGAGCCAATGTAAAACAAGGCAAATTGCCTCATCTATGCATTGGGGCTGCGCAGGAAAAGGTACCCAGCGCAGCCCCAACTGTCTGGCATGAACGGGCCCTAAAACTGCTGACCCACTCATGAACTTTTAATTGGGTAGCAAGCCATTCCCGGTCTTTTCTCCTCTTGTGGTTTTTGTCTCTATTGCATTGTACACCGCTTAGCTGACTCCTTAAAAAAAATCAGCTTTTGTCAAATAGGGATGGTCCTGAGGGGGACACACATTGTTCACATTTTGGGTGAGTCGGCAGGACTTGGCCAAAATGCAAGCAGTGTATAGCCAGTTTTAGCGTTGTCCATTTGCAACAGGAAGTGGGGTTACCACCAGATAAGAAACTTTGCCCAAAAACAATTTGGTTAGGAATACTGTATACAGTGAGACATAATGCCAAACATACAGAACAATGGTTTTAGGGTTTATATATACTTTTGGAGAATTGTGACTTGCCCATTGTTCCCTCTTTTATGGAGAAAAAGAAAACAAGTTTTTACCCTGCATGGCCGTACCTGTTGTGTTCTTCTTGGTGTGGCATCTGCCTACTTATGATCAGCTTCCTGTAGCCAATACAAACATGACACCCAACAAATGTGCCGGATAAGATTTTATTAAATTCATGAAACAATGTTAACATTTTGCTCTAACAATATACTGTATGTTTAGAGAAAGTAATGGGCGCTCAGCTTCTCCCCCCGCCATGCCGGATCTTTTATACTAGAGGGTCAGTCTGGTTTCTGTTTGGGTTTCTCTGTCTTTTCAGGTGGAAATGGAGTATTGGCATATTAAGACTGAGCTGGGTCAGAATGTGTTAGCTTGTGATTGTGTTACCATCTTTATTGGAGTGTGCCTATAGCTCTGCGCTCCTTTGATGTGGGGGAGATGTGACACCTAATTGTGACAAAGACACCTCCTCAGCTCCTGTCTTCTGCATCCTTCCATGTATAGGGGGTAGAACTCCTACCTTAAGGAGCTGGAACAGTTCAGTTTTGCTTGTAGATGTTATAGAGAAGACATTTGACGTATATGTAAACCTAATCATTAAAATCTCATATACACCTGAACATGGTAATGTAATTTTCAAAAACATATTCAATATTTTTACATTTGTCTTTTATTAAAATATTAGCAGGTGATCCTGTCATGAAGGTCCTTGTTTAGACTATTCCTGTTATAGGGGGACAATGCTCTTTCCCTGTCAGCAATTTGTGTTCCTGTGTTGTCACCCTGTCACACAGGCTTCCAATGGAGACTTCAATTGGCCACCTCAACACCCATTACTCAGTCATAGTCCACTGTAGTCACCGTCAGGAAGCCCACCATGAGACATGCCATGCAGCCAATGCTGAATACATGTACATTTTAGATTTAGGCTAGGTTCACACCTAGGTGACTCCTCACCACGCGGCAATCGTGCACGATTCCGAGGAGTCGCCAAGGTGTGAACCGATCGCGCTGTGGGTACCATTATTTTCTAATGGCACCCCAGTCGCGCCTTCAAGCCGCGAGTCGTGTGTCGCCAAAAAAGGTACTTGTACTTGTGCGGCTGTCATCTCATTGAAATCAATGGGGCCGCGTGGCAATCACTGTGTGCACTAGCACATGCTCGCGCAGCCTGGGTGTTGTGCAGGTGTGAACCTTGCCTTAAATTGAATCTAAAGACAATACTCTGTTTTTGATGACGAGGGAACTTCTGTCAGGTATTTATTGATGTCAATGGCCCTGGTGGAGATTCGTCCTTTCTGTTTGTCCAGGAGACCACTGTCACCGGGACTAAAAGTGATGGGAAAATCTGAAATTTGGAGTTGTCATCAGAACAGGAATAGAGGGCACATCTTCCAGTAATGAGACCTGTTCTGGTGACAACTGTCCAAGAGGGCATTTCCCTCAATTTGGAGATTTTTTTCTCTCCCTTCCTGTCATGTCTACCGGACAGAAAATGAATGGAAATCTCCCAAATGGGACACATGTAGAAAAAAAACAAAAAAAAACATACAAGGCTTTTTATTACGTACTCTATACAAAAAGTTTTGTTATAAACTGCACAAAATATTGCTTGCAAAAACATCAACGTTTTAATGGAAACAAAATATTGATCTTATATTCATATTTGTTGGTTTTTTTTGTAAGAATTTATATGCAACTTTATAAGCCGTCGATGTGTCCAGTCGTTATTTTCCAGTGACACCTGAAGTCAGCAATGATTTTATTGTCCACATGTAGCTGCAGGCTGTTGTGGAAGCTTTTCCTCTCTGCAGGTATCAGATAATAGAATAAGTAGCCCTTTCCCACACTGCAAGCTTCTTTCAGCAGAAAGTCTCATTATCCCTCCCCCCCTGCCCCTTTTAGAGGCTCCAGATGCCACCTTGCAGTGTGACACACGTCTATTGTCCCTGTTGCTCTGTGATTGGCTGCTGAGTGTGGGAACCTCTGCACAGTCCGATCCTCACACATTATTATGCAGAGTGAGGGGTATATAGAGAGGAGGGTCAGCTCTGTGACAGCACATTACTGAAACCCCTTCTACAGAGAGAACACTGAGCCCAGGAACTGCTTTACACCCTCTGACCGGACAACATGGCTCCTTTCAGCAGCCCTCTACTTAACTGCACTGACCGTCAGATGACTCAGAAACCCAGAAAAGTAAGTTTATCTCTAGATGCCTGTTAGCTTCTTGATATATTCATTCTGTTTTCTCCTAGATCTATCATCTTGTTAGATCTTCCTTTCCCATCCTCCTACTTCTCCCCATTCTGGCACCTAGAAGATCCCTCATCCTGTCACCCCTCTAGGTCTTCCCATCCAATGCCCTCCTAGATCTCCCCATCCAGGCACCTCCAAGATCCCTCATCCTGTCACCCCTGTAGGTCTTCCCATCCAATGTCCTCCTAGATCTCTCCATGCAGGCACCTCCAAGGTGTCTCATTCTGTCACCCCAATCCACCTTGATTCCCTCCAACTTCATTCTTGTTCCTCCTAAAAGTCTTTTTTCTCCAAATATATGAAGTCACTAACCATTCCATGTCTTTGTTTTGCAGCTGAGGAAGCCCGTTATTGAGAAGATGAGGAGAGATCGCATTAACAGCAGTATCGAGCAGCTGCGTCTCCTACTGGAGAAAGAGTTCCAGAAACATCAACTGCCCTCCAAACCTGAGAAGGCCGACATACTGGAGATGACGGTCACCCTTTTGCAGCAGCACATGGCTGAGAAAAGTAAGTACCCCCCTCCTTTATCCTTCATCTTATAATTCTTGCTCAGAGGTGTCAGGAGAGGATTGTAGAAGGTGACAGTAGACTTTATATAACTAACATGCGTCTTGTTTATTCCAGCTGTGACAGCAACCTCCAGCCAAGCCTACAGAGATGGCTACTCCACCTGTGTCCAGGACTCTGTGACCTTCCTGTCCATGCACAAGCAAACAGACGCCCAGCTGCAGCTGCTGCAGAACCTCCACGGGGCTCAGATGGTGCCCGGCGCTCTACGTCCTTCTGTATTCCCCGTCTCACATTCCCCCAGCAAGCACAGTGCTCCAGACAGCAGCAAAGCTCTGTGGAGACCCTGGTAGAGACTGTTGAGTTGGTTATTCAAGGAGCTTACCTGACATCCACACATGGGGATCTGATCCCTGTCACTGTATCCATCAAATGGATAGAGAGTACGCTTCTTATGAAGTGACTGTAATTACCATGTGACTTGACATTACTTGTTTTATAATAGGAGCAAATGCTAGCTCTGTTACATTCCTATATGGAATTTTTGTATATCTATCTATATATATGCTTTATTATTGTATATCGATAGAGAGTATGATAATTATTAATAGAGTTTAATCACTGTGTGATCTAATATTATGAGTTAAGCATATACAGTACAGCTCATTTGAATTCCAATATGCAATATGGAATCTATCTATCTATCTGTCTATCTATCTATCTATCTATCTTTACTCCTTATATGGATAGAAAGTAAGGTCATTATTAACTTGACCCTATATCACAATTAGTTGTTCCTTTTTGAAATTCAATTTATATTTTATACAAATGAATATTTTTCTTAAATAGATTGGAATCTATTTGGATGCATTCTGTGAATGTTCTCCTGTGTTACAATGACTGCATTGTAAACTGTATGCATGCAAATGAATGCATGATATTAGAAGAGCGATGCATATAAAAAATAATATTGACAATGCAGGGAATCCTTTGGGAGTCCTTTGTTGTCATATTCTTTTGCTCTTCTCAGTGTTAATGTAAGCTGCAGAAATGTCAGTGCCCATTTAAACCTGTATTGTTTATGGGAGTATCATATATTATGATGTTATTAAGTTTAATAGTTACTATTACTCTATACATTAATGTATAGAAGTTGATTTCATGACACTATTGTAATTTTCCTTGAGAAATAAGTATATAATGACATTCAGCATTTGGATGTATTGTGTATAATGCATCTCATTGATGATGCAGTATATTACGGTATACCTCACTACGTTCTGCAATGTTTGCAGGATTTATTCGTTCGAATGGATTATATTTTTGGTATGCAAAATTTGCAAAATATCCTACAATTAGGAAATACAGAATGCAGTATGCAATATTTGCATCATTAGTGTATGTAATAGGTATGCAGTTTTTGCAAAAGTTGTTGTGATGTTAATTATAACATATGGTGCTATATAATATTTGCAGTTGTGTGCAAGTATCTGTTCATGCACTTCGTACAGAGATGTGCAGAGTATTTTGAATCAATACATTATAGTGATATAAAAAAAGAAAAATGTGTTGAATAAAAAACTTTGAACAATAAAAAAACATTATTGAACTGAAGCTAGTGTTCACTTTCTTTTATTATTTTTAAATAAACTTGTCAGGGAAAGGCAGGGGGGGGG